AGAACTGACACCATAGCAGAAAAGCCTCTCCTATGGGACTTTGCCAGCCTCCGCTCCTTGAACCAACCCCTCCTGTTGGATAGAATAGTACAGATAGCTACAACCAGGAAGAAGTGGTTCTGTAAATAACCCAATGACTTGAATAAATTATAAATAAAATTAATAAAGCATGAAAACTGTCTTGAAAAGATGTACACCAATTCTGATCTGAAATATTTCTAGAGTTATATTCTGAACAATCAAAGAGTAGGGGGAAGATTTGCAAGTATATTCAAATAAATAACAAAGGCTTTTTCCTGTTCAGCATAGCCAAACTGTATCCTATGGCATGCTTTTAGAATTCTAACTTTTTAGGATATCCAGCTAGTGCATGTTTTGTTATCCATTTTTAAAAATGCATTTAAAAAAAGAATATGGGAGGGACAAATGAAAGAGAGAGAGAGAGAGTGAAGGAAAGAAAGGGAAACGGAGAACAGTTAGCTCCATTCAGGCAATTCACAAAGATCACCATATGGATGAAATACTGCTCTTGTTGCAATCAATGGATGTTTGACTCCTACTTTCAATAGATCCAAAAGTTTGTCTAAATTCTTTATGTTTGTTGCCTTCCTTTTTTCTGATCGTTTGTTTTAAAAGTGACTCATTTTTTTTGTACTACGATACATGTGGACTATGGTGTTTATTATTTCATCTCTCCCATTTTATGCAGGAATAGCCCAGGGCCGTTTTCAAAACAGAAGAGGAGAGACAGGCAAAAGGCTTTGAAATCATTGTTGCAGCATTCAGTAACCCCAACCGTCAGCAACCCGCATTCACAGGCAGTATAAGAGACAAATGTGCTTTCTGCTGAGGTCTCTTCCCTGATGTGAAACTGCCACTGAGGATTGAATACAGAACATTTCACCAGGGGGAAAAAAAAGTCAGAACAAATGCTTCCAAGTTTTATATTAAAGGCAAGGTTTCTGAAATTGTCCTCCAGTGAGCAGCTTTCAAAAGCTGGAAAATGAAACTACAGCAGTTACTAGAGAACCAGCAGCCAGAAAATTGATTACTTACGTATCCATGGGCTTTTATCGCTAAACTATAAACCTAAAAGGATATAGAACAAGATTTTAAAAAATATACAAAATTGCCATTTAAAATCATTAAAAACAAAACAATACCAAGCATATATGATAACAGGAAACACAGAAGCAATAAATGCAGTAATGTGGTAACAAAGAGTTGGCAACAGATGAGTCTTCATTTGGTGCTGGAAAGCCCCAACAATTGGCATTATCCACAAACACAATGACATCCACAAACACAACACTTATGAACCCACAACAGTTCATAAGAAGAGAGCGGCCACCTATGTTTCCATGTTTTCTGACTGGTTGGTATGAATCAACAGATTGGGCAGGGTCGATGTCACTTCAATTAAACAGTGCCATCTATCAGGACCTAGGAAACATGCATCCTCTGTCACAGCAACTTCTAGAGATCCATGTGTTTCCCATCCTAAAATGTTTTGGAGAACCTCAAAGATGTGGCTTTTCTCCCATGCTTTGGTTAGAGTGGATGAAGACCCTTGTTGGACGTCTTTCTGTTAATTTTTCTATTGATTGCCCAGACCCTATCTTGGGGTTGTCTGTTTTTTTGTTTTTGTTTGCTGTGTCATGAGCTATCCAGAATTGGTTTGGAGTTGGGCAGCACCAAAATAAATGCCCAAGAAGGAACTTTCTCAGGCTGTTGCATCAGTAAACATGCTTACAGCTATCCAGAATCTTTTGGACTAGGTGGCCATAGTTAATTTAATAAAAATAAAGTACAATGAATTAACTGGGTCAGAACTCATAGATACACTTGCTCAGAATTAGGTGCTCCTCTAAGTATTGGGGACGCGGTGGTTCAGTAGCTAAAGACGCTGAGCTTGTCGATCAGCAATGTCGGCAGTTTGGCAGTTCAAATCCCAAGCACCACATAACGGAGTGCGCTCCCATTACTTTTCCCAGCTTCTGCCAACCTAGCAGTTTGAAAGCATGTAAAAATGCAAGAAGAAAAATAGGGACCACTTTGTTGGGAAGGTAACCGTGTTCTGTGCACCTTCGGCATTTAGTCATGCCGGCCACATGACCACAGCGATGTCTTCGGACACCACTGGCTCTTCGGCTTTGTAACAGAGATGAGCACCGCCCTCCCAGAGCTAGAAATGACTAGCATGCATGTGTGAGGGGAACTTTTACCTTCACCTTAAGTATTGGACCATAGTTTTATTGGGTTGTCTCCTACCCCACTTGAAGTTCTTGCTGGAAATAAAAGTATGGTTTCAACTGATTTAAGAATATAAGAAAAAACATGACTTGTTTGAATTGTAGAATTCTCTGGTTTTGGTTTTTCATTTGCAGTCATTTCATTATT